GCAAAAGTTCCAGGATTCACCCTGTTGAATTAATTCAGTCAATGCCCCCCTTCACTGTGGCCAGATTGGCTAAGTCTGAATCAGAGGTATACTCCCTGGAACCATGGTTAAGTCCTTCTGAAAATCATGTTCTCTGAATTTGGAGAATTTGTGGTTCCCTGAAGGAAAACTTGGGGGTTTACCAAGAGAGGGATAAAATGGATCATGTGTAGACAAGAGCACCATCTGTGCACTTCAATCTCCAACAGCTGACAGAAGAAGTCTCAGTGATGGGGCCTGTGGGGCAGACTAAACTGCAGTAGCAAGGTGCTGGTTTTGTCCAAGCCCTTGGATTGTTGGCACAGATGCTGTTCGGTTTCAGCCACACAGACAGGACTGGAGCAGGAGTGTCTGGGAGACTGGCATGAAGGCTGCTCTCACAGCCTCCCAACCACTTTGGCACAGGGGACCCTATTTGTGATTTATCAGTAATGGTCGCATCTAGGCTACTCTGTTGGCCTTCTCAAGCTGCTTTACTCACCCTGAAATATAAATAACACCCAGACAGGATCCCAACTCCGTGTCCTAGACAAACCCCCTATCCAGAGACGGCAGCCAGATTCACCATAGACTCAGGGGGCAGTGTCCTTATTACACCCAGTTTTGAGAGCGAGCCAAGAAGTAAGGTTTCAAGAAATATGATACCATGACCAGAGACTAAACTCTGACACCCAAGGAGTATTTATTTCCCAACCAAAGCCAGTATCCTCTGGTGATTCGCCCTGCTGAAGAGGATGGGTAGGGCTGGACTGGCCGCAAGAGCAGGTGTAGGAGCTCCTTTTTTTACAACTGGAAAATCACTCTGATTTTAGTGTCAAGCAATGCTGGTGTCTGCCTCAGCTGAGCCCTCCTGCATTCCAACTTCGATGCCACCACGGATGACTACTGGAGAGTCAGAGTCCCCCACCCCACCCCACCCCACCCCACCTCCAGCCTGCCTGCTTTCAGAACCTTGTAGTTGGAGGGCTTAAGGGGACTTGAAGCAGGTGGCAAGGTAATAATTATAGTAACCACTTACTGAGCATATATTACATGCCAGGCCTGAGCTTCATTTACATTAAGCTTAATGGCTGAGAGTGTGGTGCTAGAGTCTAGAAACACTAGGTTTGACCCTGGGCTCCATCTTGCTAGCTTTGAGATTTTGATCAGGTTACTTAATCTCTTTGGGCCTTGATCAACTGACTTGTAGAATTATGATAATAAAAGTATTTACCGTACAGGTTTGTGAGGGATTACATGGGATACTGCACACAACGTATTCTGCAGCGTCTGGTAGATATTCAGCACTACATAAATGTAAGCATCATTATATGCACTTGTAATTTCTAATCCTACCACACTCCTGTAATGTAAATGCATTAGTTAGAGAGACTCTTGGCTGCTTCAGTGGCTTAAACAAGACAGAAGTTTATTTCTCTTTATAAGAAAGAGTGGAGGAGATTCTATTATTTTCTACTTGCATCTTCCACTGTTGGTTTCAAATGGCTGATCTAGCTCCTACCACTGTATTGTAACTCCAGTCAAGAGGAGGAAAATCTGCCCCTTCCTTCCAAGGGCACCCTTAAAAGTTGCATGTAACATTACTGCTCAGATCCCATTGGCCAAGCTTAGTCATATAACCACACTATCTGAAAGGAAGCTGGGAACTAAAATCTTGTACTTTGTTAAAATTGAGACTTACTAGTAGAGGAAGAAGGGGAGAATAGATATTGCCCTGCCAGACCCACCGCCTGGCTACCCCTCACAAAGTACACATTTATCACCCCATTGATAACAGTGGAGGAGGAACAGGATAAACTTCAGAACAGAAAAGAATAACAAATACCTGGCAGTCACTTGATCTTTAGCCAGTTACTAAGTCCAGTTGGGCAGGAATTACAGTGCCACTTCCCTGCAGTGGGGTAATTTCTCAGGCAGCTTATCTGGCTGCCTGGTTCTGCTCTCTGGGATGGAACCCTTCCACTCTCCTATGTGGCTGCTGGCATTGCCTCCTGGGAAGTTATTTCTTACCTGACATCCTCTGTGGCTGCCTTGGACAGCCCATCTGTCTCTGCCAACCTTACAACTTTCACAGATTTCTTCCTGCTGGTGCAGATTTGAGAAGCTCGAAACAATGGAGGAGGGCTGTCAAACCAGTCTCTTCTGACTGGGTTTATAGTTTCTTTGCTAATATAACACCCTTAAAATCGTCCAAGGCTTCTGGCTGGTTTCATATTTGTATAACCACAGCCACTGTTCTCATAATTTTTATGCTTATATACTCTGGATTTGGTGTTCTTCCCATTCTCTCTCAAACTGCTGGTGGCTTCCTTGAGGCCATCTGAAAAAATGCACGTGGTGGCGAAGAGAACTTCCCTATTCTGCTCACTGGGACAGCTTCCACTATGTACAGAATTGGTTGTGCTTGAGGACCACAGGTAAAGCCCTTGCCAAGGCTGCCTCATTCAAAATACCTCTTAACAACTTGCAGCCTGAGGGCATTTCTCTTGTAGGAATTTGACAGTAGCAGGAAGCAGCAGCCAATCCGTAGCAGTTTCCGTGAGTTACAGGCTTTTTTAGTATATGATTATGTTTCAAGGCATCGTGGATGACAGATATGCCATATGTTTTACTGTAACATAACAATGGTAACCAGCTTACCGGCATACAATTGTTTTCTTTGCTACCTGTAGTCCAGTCTCTAAACCAATGCTGTTTGTTTTAGGCTTTTAAAGCAGTGCCACTTCCAGATACCAAATTTTGCCTCAGTTAGGATACATGGTTGGTTGCTATAACAAAGATTCAGTTTAAAAATGACTTACACAAGGAAGTTTGTTTCTGTCATATAATAGTCTACAGACAATCTAAACCTGGCAGGATGCCTCTGAAACCTCTAACAAGCATCTTCCACCTTTGCTACAAGATAGCTGCTCTAGCTCCTGCCATCACATTAGCATTCCAGCCATCAAAAGAGGAAAAGAGAGAAAGAACAAGGTTCTACTGTATATCACAGAGAACTACATTCAGTGCCTTGTAATAACCTATAATGAAAAGAATATGAAAAGAAATATTTATATGTATAACTGTATCACTATGCTGTACACCAGAAACTAACACAATATTGTAAACTGAAAATACTTCAATAAAAATGAAGGGGAAAAAGAAGAAGGAAACTAATGCCTCTTTTTTTTAAGGCGTGACCTGGAGGTTGCTCACATCACAACCACTCACATCGAATTGTCCAAATTTAATCACTAGGCCATATTTAGCTGCAAGGGTTGAGAATTTAGGTCTTTATTGTAGGCAGGCATTCCAGTTGAAATTTAAGTGTTTCTGTTACTAAAGGAAGAAGAGAGAAATAGATATTGCATGGCAACTGGCAGTCTCAACCACAGAATGTTTTTATCCTCACTTTACATTCGTGGAAACAGGCTCAGAAAAAAACAAGCAACGCTTTCCAAGGTCAAATGGGTGAGAATGAATTTTAATATGGTCCATCTGACCCCCAAACAGGTTTTGCATCACATCCAGCCCACATATTTTGGTCCTCAAGGTGCCCACTGTTTGCCTAGAGATAAAAGTTAGTCACATGTATAGTTATATGAGTGCCAGCCCAGCGTACACTGAGATTTGCACACGGAACGGGCAGATCAGTGCAGTGAGGGTAATGTCATCAGAGAAGACTTTCTTAAAAAGGAGCTCCTGCTACTGGTGCCTGGGTACTGCAGGAGATGGCAGTGGTGTGAGCTGAGCTTGTTCTGTCTCTGGCTTGGCTGTGCAGGTGGCCCACAGTGTAAGAAGGTGGGAGTTTTTCAGGTCCGAGGCACCACATATCTCCAGGGATGGTCCAAGTGATCTTTTCCCCATTAGCTGTGCCTTTAACATTCTGTCATCTGAGATGAGACAGGCCACAGGGATCCTGTGGGAGGAGAGCTGCACTCGCCCCCAGGACTATCCAAGACACATGTGAAGGTGAGCCCCTCCCTTGTTCTGTTCCCCAGGGGCAGTGAAAGGGCTTTGAGGGATGATGGGAAATGTGTTCAGTAAATTCAGCAAGAAATCCACTAATCCATTACTGAGTGTTTATTCACTGCATGGCAAGGCAGGGATGGAAGAGGCTGGAAGGAGGAGAGGAAGGGAGGGGCAGAGAGAGGGGAGCTGGAGCAGCTGGGTCAGCATTCCCAATTTGGACACTGACTCAGGTCCCAGGAATGCCAAGGAAGGGGATGGGCAGCCACTGGAGCTGCCCGGGATCCTGCTGGCAAGCAGGAGATGCAGGAACTGCACACACAGAGGGATGAGGAAAGTCAGGCTCCTGCACACCTGGATCTACCTCCGCAGGTAGAAGCAGGTGTCTCTCACACTGCAGACAGGTGCAGGCCCTGAGCCTTCAAGCCCACCACACACCTTCAAGGTGACTTTCACAACTCCCTACCTGCCCTAACCATTCCACTCCAACTACTCCACCAGAGGCAGGGACAGCCTCCTGGGACTCAAATGTGACATCTGGAAACACACTGGCCACTCTCCCGGGACCACCCACAAACCCCTTATCCCCATCCTCCCAGCTGGCTGCAACTTGCCCTTCCTCATTCACCATAACCGAAATTTGTACCAGAAGAAAAGTTAAGCTCAACCTGCCTCCATTTCCCCTCCTTTGGCGCCTGACAAAGATGAGGGAGGCCCTCAGGGTGGGAACCCAGGACTCTGAGATCCTGTTTCCTCCCACCCCCAGTGCCCCTGAAATGCTCCAAGCCACCTCCCCCATAGCAGGGTCCTTCTCTCCTTGGAGACCCGGGAGGCAGCCCAGGATCGGACATCAAAATTCCAGGTACGTTCGTCTGCACCCCACCCAGCTCCCAGGCTGCAGGGCTGGAGCAGCTGAGCGGGTGGACTCCTTCCTCCCCACTGCCTGACACCCAATCAGAGAGAACCCGATCCGGGAGGGCAGGGAGCCAGGGGCCGGGCCCAGAATAGTGCTGCCCAGATAACAGTGTTGCGCACTTGCTCATGGAGCCCGCCGAGCTGGAGCACGCGCTGCGCAGGGTACAGGGGTTCCTGGGGGCCGGGAGCTGGAGTAGCTGAGGCCAGAGGGCCGGGAGCACACCGCCGCGGGGATGTGCGCGCGTGTGCGTGCCTGTGTGTGTGTCTGGCCAGGATTTACTCTGTGTGTATGAGCATGCGGTGTCTGCATGTGTATGTTCTTTGTGTGAGTATATGTGGTTCTGTGTGTGGCTTGGCATAATTGAATGGGTGGCTTTCTGAGTGCATGTAAGTGTTTGTATAGGTGGTGGGTGTTTATGTGTGTTTGTGTGTGTGTGTGCATGCTCGTGTGGTGGGAAGGGGAGCTCTCTGTGGCTGGGAGCATAGGGCATTTTCCCCACCCCTTCAGTCATTCGTCTTCACACAGACCCCTTCCTGGAGCAGTCTTGAGGGACCTGAGCATCAAGGTAGGTGGGGCTACTCCTCCTCATGGACCCAGCCTCTTCTCCCGCTTCATCTTCTCTCATGCCTCTAGGCCCCCAGTCTCCTCCATTCCACTAGCCCAGCTTTTGACTTCCATTCCTTTTCCTGTTCCTCTTTGTTTCTTTTTCCTCATTTTCCCTCACCCCCTCCTCCTCTTTCAGAAGAAGAAAAGGGGGACCTAGAGTCTGAAGATTTGGACCCTCCTTACTTTATCATTTACTAGCTGTGTGATTTGTGGCAAATTGCATAACCTCTCTGATCTCAGGTCCCTTTTAGTAAAATAGGGATGCTAATAATGCTTCCCCTGTAAGATTGCTATGAGGTAAGAGTGAGAAACAAGTTGGAGGAAAAGCCCTTTGGAAGCTTGCAAATATTAAATATCATTGTTAATAACATTTTAATTGATTTCATTGTGTTACTCCCTATTAACCAAACAGGCCCCATTCCCCCTTCCAGAGATGAGCTTCCTAGAGCAAGGAGACAGCTCTTCATGGCCGTCACCTGCCATGACCACCAGCTCAGAAAGAAGTCATGGGAAACAGGGGACCAAGGTCTCGAGATGGACAAAGCAGGAGGATGCAGAGGAAGGGGAGCCACCAGGCCCAGGGGAAGGTGAGGCCAAGGCCAGTTCTGGGGAGATAGGACTGGGGGCAGTGGGAAGTCCCCGAGCCTGGGGCCGGACTCTGCCTTGGATCCCTCCATAACGCAGACACGTAACATCATGTGGCCTCAGTTTCCCCACTTGGGAGAGGACAATCGCATTGCTGATCCAGGGGCCCAGTGTGGCCAGCTCAGGAGAGAGCCACTGTCTCGTGTGACTGAGACTCAGCTCTCTCACCTCCAAAATGGAGGCCAGAGCATCTGGGCTTCCCAAGGCTCCTGTGAGGACAGCAGACGAGAAAGTGCTTTGGAAGATGGAGTTACTGTCCTCTCCTCCGAACAGGTCCCCAGTCCAAGCCAGCTGCTGAGTCCACCGGGCTGGAGGCCACATTCCCCAAGGCCACACCCTTGGCCCAAGCTGCTCCTTTTGCAGGGGTGGACAGCCCCTCTACAAAGCAGGACAACCTCCCCCTTGACTGTGCAGCCTCAGGCTCCTGCTCCAGCACAGATGATCTGGATCTGGGCATAGAGTTCTTAGCCACAGCATCCTGGGGGGATGAGCTGGGCGTGGTGGAAGAGAGGCCGGCCCCATGCCCGTCCCCGCAGTTGCTGTTACCCAGGATGGGTTGGGACGATGAGCTGCGGAAGCCAGGGGCCCAGGTCTACATGCACTTCATGCAGGAGCACACCTGCTACGATGCCATGGCAACCAGCTCCAAACTGGTCATCTTCGACACCATGCTGGAGGTGAGGCCGCGGCTCTGCCCCACCTCCATCCTCACCCCCGCCCCAGGACGCCCTGCCAGCCATGCTCCCCTACAAGCCCCTTCCGGAACTCCTCCGTAGCACCATGGAGACTGGGGGCAGGGCGAGGAGGGCTTCTACTTTCAGTGCACACCCACTAATTGTCATCCCAGCTTGGCAACTTTGTAGGATCTTGGGTTGGTCTTTTTACCTCTCTCGTCTCTAAAATGGGAATAGGAGTAACTCCTTTAGCCTACAAGTTTCAGAGGACTCCTGGGACAAGCCAGGATAAATGAGAACACTTTGCAAACCCCAAATTATATGGAAGACATTGCAAGGGAGCTTAGGACAAAAAGCAGGGAACTCTTGGTAAGAGAAAAGAAGAATGAGCTCTGGTCCCCACTCTTCCATCAGGCCAAGCTACGAAATGCCTGGCTCCATTCTTCTCATGGTGTGTAGGAGAGCAGGGTATAGCATACAGTAGAAGTGTGGTATACAGTACGGTCCACAGGACATTATTTGATTCTAGCTGCATATGAACAAATATGCTGAATTTAGTAGCTCTGTATTTATTTTGATATGGATTAGAAAAATACAACCAGCATGTATAGATAGTATCATTTAGGATGAGGCCAAAATGAGTCAATGTAAAATTTGTCTGTAGAAAAACATTTTGTAAATATTATGTAAATAATTATACCTCTAGTACTTAGATTAGCAAAGAGTGCACTGTGTGTACCTATACATTTATGACTTTGGAGTGGAAACACTGAGTTAGCTCCCCACACCCTGCTGTTCCTGGTGAAGGGTCACCTCTGGCCACCAGCAGCCTTATCTCTGCAGCAAATGTGCTGACAAGGGTCACGTCAGTGTTGCATGACATGAGAAAGGCACGGCAGGCTCATGTAGAGGGCGGCCCAGGAGAAGGTCCCAGGAAGGGCCCTGGCTGGGACAGGGGATCCCTGAAGAGCAGAGAGTGACTAAACCTCAACTGTTCTTCCCGGCACTCAGATCAAGAAGGCCTTCTTTGCCCTGGTGGCCAATGGCGTCCGGGCGGCACCTCTGTGGGACAGCAAGAAGCAGAGATTTGTGGGTGAGGATGGGCTGGGGAGGCAGAGCTGATGGAGAAGGGAAAGGGGGAAACTTGTGGGGTGATTTGGGGGCTGATCTCTGACATATCACAGGCTTGAGTAGAGCAGGGTCCTGACATTGAGGGAACATAGTCTTGCAGTAGGCAACTGGTAGACCCCCTCTGTAGAATAGTTGTGACCAGCAGACCCCTCCAGCTGTACTACCCCATGGTCCCATGTCAGAGGTGCTGAGCAGGAAAAGAGGACAGGAAGAGAAAGGAATTCAGAGAATGAAAAAGGGGTGGATGGGAAGGAGAGAGTTTACAGGAGAAGCATGAAAAGTGTAAACCCCATTTCTCAGCGTGGGAGGAGCTGCCCTACTCTCCGCTGTCTGCAACCCCACTGTTTCCTCAATCCAAGGACACTGGCAGGGTGGGGGAGGGGGCCTGACCCCTCAACCTGCCTCCTGCCACAATGCCCAGACTGAGCCCCTGTCCATCCCCCTCTCAACCCTGCAGGGATGCTGACCATCACAGACTTCATCTTGGTGCTGCACCGCTATTACAGGTCCCCCTTGGTGAGGAGTGGGCTGGGAGTCCTGGGAGCACCCAACTGGACTGGGGTGGAGGAAGGACAGGGGGCCCATGTCTGACTTTGGGAGTTCTGTTGATGTCCCTAGGTCCAGATCTATGAGATTGAACAACATAAGATTGAGACCTGGCGAGGTGAGTGGGTGAGGGGACCTGCAGAGGGGCTGAGGGTGTGTGGGTGAGGGTGGGGCCAAGGACCTCAGGCAGAGAAAGGGCATTGGGAGTTTCCTGGAGGGAGCAGGGGAAGGGTGACAGGGTTCCCAGTGGGCCAGAGGGAAGGGAGATAGTCTGGGGGCTGCTGGGCAAGGCAGGGTGGCCAGCTCCCTTGCCCTGACTCTGGCTTTTCCTACAGAGATCTACCTTCAAGGCTGCTTCAAGCCTCTAGTCTCCATCTCTCCCAATGACAGGTAAGCATCCCCAGTCATCCACCTGAGCCTCCTTGCTCTGCACAGACCCCTTCCCCAGCACCTCAGTTCTGAACTCATGGGCTCATCCTCAGTGGACTGCAATAAGGCAGGCTTGGCACCCTGTCCTCCTTTCCAGGGGGCTGGGATGAAGGGCATCTCTCCCCAGGCTGCCCTAGGATCACTTCTCTCACTTCCGCAGCCTATTTGATGCTGTCTACACCCTTATCAAGAACCGGATCCACCGCCTTCCCGTCCTGGACCCAGTCTCAGGCGCTGTGCTCCACATCCTCACACACAAGCGGCTGCTCAAGTTCCTGCACATCTTTGTGAGCCTTGGCGCAGCCTCAGGAGTCGACCTGATGGGCTGAAAAGTCTTCAGCCCTAGGGATTGGGGAGGGAGCACTTGGGATCCGTCTGGGGGCTAGTTCACCCTGATCCCTACCTGTCCCCAACCCAACCAGGGCACCCTGCTGCCCCGGCCCTCCTTCCTCTCCCGCACCGTCCAAGATCTGGGCATCGGCACATTCCGAGACTTGGCCGTGGTGCTAGAAACAGCGCCCATCCTGACTGCACTGGACATCTTTGTGGACCGGCGCGTGTCTGCACTGCCTGTGGTCAATGAAACTGGTACCTACGCTCAGGATGGGGGCTCTGGCTGGGTTGGGACTGTGGGGAGCAGGGGTCTATGTGACATCAGCTCAGGGCCCAGGGTGGAGCCAGGGCTAGAAGTCTCTGTCTGCTTTGAGGCTTGGACCAGTTACTTAGACTTTCTGAGCCAGACCTCAGGGTTAAAGGGTTAAAGAAACCATGGCTGTAAACTGTTTCAAAGTTAAAATCGCTGTAATGAAGCTGGATATCAAGAAGCGTTTTGCAAAAATGGTAGAAAAAGCTGTATAATGAACCCCACATATCCACCTGAATAACTATTGTTAACGTATTGCCATAACCAGTTCTTTTCTATTCTTTTCTTTTCTTTTTGGCTGAATTTAAAATGTGTTATATTATAGAATCATGTCATTTTACCCCTTAATATTTCATCTGCATCTCTTAATATTAAGTACATTTCCTACATCACCTAACAAAATTACAAATCATGTATTAATGTTATCTAATATTCAGTCCTAATTCTCATTTCCCCATTTTCCCCACTAGTATCATTCTTTACAGTTGATTTGTTCAAACCAGTGTCTCATTAAGGTCCATGCTTTGCATTTGCTTCCTTGTCCCTTAAGCCTCTTTTAGCCTAGGATAGCCCCCTCCTCACTTGATTTTCATGACGGTGATGATGAGAAGCCTGGGTCAGTTGTCCTGTAGAATGTCCTGTTGTGAGAGGTTTGTCTGTTTGCTTTCTGGAGGTGGCCAGAAAGCGAACATTGTTCCTCTATTCCTGTGTTTCCTCTAAACCAGAAATTAGATCTAAAGTTTCGATCAGAGTCAAGCTATACATTTGAGGCTAGAATATTTCAGAGGTGACACCATGGACTCACATCTCATCCTCTTAGGAGGCATGATGTCAGGTGTTTCTCTCTGTGATGCTGTTTGATCTGTGAGTTCAGGTGGTAGCAGCCTGATGCCTCATTATATAGCCAGTAGCCCCGGGGGGAGGGGAGGATGTTGAGGAGTTCATCCCAAAAGCCTGCCCCAGGCCCTTGCACAGCATCCTAGTTCTTACCTGAACCTCTCCCCTGTTTTTCCTCTCACCTTCCTCCCCGCACCCCGACCCCCACAGGACAGGTCGTGGGCCTCTACTCCCGCTTTGATGTGATTGTAAGTGTCTGTGGGGAACAGAGGGGAGCTGGGGCTGCCACAGGGAAGCTGTGGTGTGAGGATCGATGCGGGGGCGAGTAATATCTGTGGACTGGGAGGGATCCCTTTACCAGTGTATAGAGGGAGATATCTGTGGGGCTGGAGCCTGGCCGAGGGCTGATTAAGAGCCATTCTCTCCCTGCTCAGCACCTGGCAGCCCAACAAACATACAACCACCTGGACATGAGTGTGGGTGAAGCACTGAGGCAGAGGACACTGTGTCTGGAGGGAGTCATTTCCTGCCAGCCCCACGAGAGCTTGGGGGAAGTCATCGACCGGATTGCCCGGGAGCAGGTACCCCCTTCATGCCTGCCCCATCATATGTGCTCCCAACCCTTAGAGCCCAGTCCTTCTCATGAGCAGATCCAGCTAGCCCTGTCCATCAGGCACCTGCCCTGTCTTCCCATTTCATGGCCAAGGTCTTGGTGTCCTCACTGGCCCATGATTGGCCTCTCAGTGGGGCCCTTGGGCCAGGGTAGTCAGAGCAACCCCTAACTGGTTAATAGGAGACACTCTCTTGCTCCCAGAGTTATGTCAAATTGTTGCCCCTGACTCTTGGTGTCAACCTTGGTGGCTGCCATAGCCACATGGCACTGCCCCCTCACTGAGCCCCTGTGGATCCGCAGGTGCACCGGCTGGTGCTGGTGGATGAGACCCAGCACCTCCTGGGCGTGGTGTCCCTCTCCGACATCCTTCAGGCTCTGGTGCTCAGCCCTGCTGGCATCGATGCCCTCGGGGCCTGAGACCATCGGAGTCCTCACTCTCAGGCCCCTTTCCACACCCGGAAGCCAGTGAAGGGAGCCTGAGGACTCGGCCTTCACCTCCCCAACCCCCATTTGCTGGTTCGGCTCTTGTCCAGGTAGGCTCTGCCCTGGGCCATGGGCCTCAGCATCAGCCCCTCAGTCTCTCCAGGTGCCCAGATCTCAGACTTGGGGACACTGAGGATGGGAGTGGCCCCACTCAGAGCTGATCAGCCTCATGAAAATTACAAATGTCAGGACTCACTGTGGGGCCAACCACTCTTATCCTATTCTCAGCTGAGGGTGGACAGGGGCTGGAGTGAAATCAAGGGCAGTGATGTGACTTCAGGGGCTCCCAGAAGATTGGTCTGTCCTCTCACAATTCAATTCCTGCCTGCTTGGAATTCCACTGGAAGGGAACAAGTTAATAAACTGTGGTTGAATGGAATTTCCACACTTGGTAAGAACTAAGGTTGAAAAGAGGGAGTTTCTATCTAAGCACTCATCTCAGTCAAGTTGACATGATCTCAGACTCTTTTCTGGTAGCATGTCAGCTAGGGGTCTGCAGAGGGTGGGGGGCACAGATTCCACCTGCTTAGCAGTGGCTGGCAAGATTTAGGTTCCCCTATTGGAAATGCAACCTCCCCTCCCCATTTAGTCACTGTCTTCCTTTCTCTTTCCCTCACAGGCTTCTCCAGCCCTCCCTGATTGCCCTTGCCCTGCGTGTGCTCCCAGAAGCCCTCAGGAATGCCCGATACACTGTGGGATGATGCAATGAAAGAGAACAGCTGAGTCAAGCCTGGAGATCTCTGAACCAGAGGCACTAGGATTACCCCAGGGCTGACAACTCCGTGTCCACCCTCCCCATTCTCCCCCGACCTGGCCCCTGTGGGTGGGGAGCCCTCAGCCTATGGGTTCAGGCAGGGGCTCTGGATTCTTCGGCTCCTGGACCACCTGACACTTGTGGCCCCAGCTCCTGGGAGTCTCAGTTGTGCTTCCCGCATGAAACCTGCCCGTGTGGTTCTTCACTACTTTGCCACTGCCCTCCTGCTCTCCCAGCACTGCATTTCAGGGCTGCCTGGGGGTCCCCATGGAGCAGCAGTTTTGGAGAGCTGCCTGTTGGAGTGGGACCCCCGCCCTCCACTCTCAACCTTAGCTCTTATCAGCGAGCACTATTCTCAGTCCTGTATTTGGATCACTGAGGGTGAACAATCAAGAAAACAAAAAGAAAAAGAACAATCCATGAACTTAGGTTTTATATAAGTTTCACTCAGAATATGCTATGATCATTTGATCTGAACTTGTGGCAAGATCCCTGTGTTCTCTGAATCCAAAGACCCGAAGGAAAATCTGTCATTGACAAATGCTGCAAGTGATGTTTCTTCTTTGTGTGGAGTGTTATTCCACCAAAGTTTTTTTCATCTTTTATTTATAACAAAACTATAAAGAAAATATTAGTTACATACCAGGTACAACTCAGTCCATAAACTCTAATCTGCAAGAAACATAACAATTTTTCTCACACTGAATGTAATTTCTTTTATGAACTCCGTCTCACCATTTGGTAGAAATTGATCTCCGTCAATTTAGGCTTCCCTTCCCACCTTTTCTTGGGGTTAAGTGCGGTGCTGGGGGAGATTTTAAGTCCATTGCATGACTTTGTTCCTAAGCCATCATCCTCCATCCATGCTAGCACCTGCTGAAACATCCCCATTCCCATGTGGTTGTCACTTGGTCACTGGTGGGCATGGCCCCTGCTGGGTGCTCCCTCACTCCTTATGAAGCCTCTTTGGGCCCGCCTGCTCCCCAGGCATAAGGACATTTTAGCTTCTGGTCCTGCACCCCTCCGGGCTTCAGGAAGATCTGCAGGGCTATCCTAAGTCCATCTGCTGAGATGGGCAGTCTGTTCTAATCTGTGTTTTGCTGTTTTCTCAGCCTCTACCCAAGAAATATGGGACTCGGGGCTCTTCCACCCTTATCTTCTCCAAACCTCTCTAGGGTGTTTGTCATACTTCCCCCTCCCTTCAGACACAGCTCCCTTGTCAGGATTCCCCAAAATATCTATAATCTCTTTGTTTCCCCAACACCCACCAGCCTGTGGAATCTCTATGCGGTAGGGAAAGAGTGGGCCTTTTTCTCTAACTCATTATATATTCTTCCAAACCCACTGTATGTGTCTTGAGTTCCTGCCACCTACCCTGTGAGTCGGGGTTTTGAAATTCCCAAGCCAAGACTGGGCTTCTGCTCTGTCTGTCCCTGCCCACCCTCCACTGCCTCCGGGGGAGTGATGGTGGATACTGCGGGGAGAGGGTAGGTTAATATTTCTAAAATATGATCCTACGCCATTTACCTCACAGAGCAACAGAGTGGGGACACCTGTGTTTAATGTGTCAGGCAGTCGGTGTATTTTTCTCATAGACACTCAGCTTCTGTTTACGGTTTTGCCATAACTAGTTTGTCAGGGCTGGTTCTGCTCTGGCCCAATCTGGGAAGGTCTGGGATTTGGGTTCAAGTGGGAGGGTGGGATGGGGTGCCCTCAGGGCCTGTCTCAAGTGACAGTGTCCTTAGGGAGCCTGCGACTTGCTGTTACCATGGGCTCAAACAAAGTGTAGGAGGGTCAGTCTTTTGAAGCGGTGTCCCAGGTGGCTCTGTATGAACAGAACTTCAGTGGTCACAGCACAGGCTCTGGCTGGGAAGAGCAGCCTGAGAAAAGCACTCTTTCCCCAACTCTTTCTCCCCTTGGAAGCAGACAGATCTTCACTCTCCTGAGGGTAACCCACCATGCTGAGGACCCAGCAGTTGTCACCCTCAGGCCCTTCTGTGAGGGACCCACCACCCCGAGGCCTCAGCCCCCTGCTCTGACCACAGCTCAGCCCTCCAGCATCCTGGCTGCTGGGAGTGAGGTGAAGAGCTGCTGGGTGGGAACTGCGACTACTCCCACCCGAGCTCAGAATCAAAGTGTGAAACCGCCCCGCTGTCCCCTCTGCTCGTGCGTGTGAGCCTGGGCTGACCAAGTTCTCCAGGCGTCATGCCTCCAACTCCTCCCCTGGCCTCTGAGGCCCCTCAGAGGTTCTGTGGTCTCCAGGCTAGACTCCCACAACCTCATTAGCTCCATCTGTCTCTCCTCTCCCCATGCCCTCAGCAGTTCTCAACCCTGGGTATCCAACAGGATCACCTGGGAAGCGTTACAAAATGCGTAATTCCAGGGCCCCATTCCCAAAGATACTAGTTTTCGGACTTGGGGGTGGGGCCTGGGCAACTGTATTTATTTTCTATAGAAACTAGAGACATGATTAATAACACATGACGTGCATGGCAGCGTGCTGAGAAATAAGAATGACTCATTCTCATGATTAGTAAAATCATTTGCCACTTATTGGGTCTATTATTTATTATGACTAACAGCTACAAGAAGCACTGGCTAAGAGTAACGGCACAACATTAAAGATATACGATTTGTTGGTATTCTCACTTCTCTTCTTCCAAACATCCTTAAGTGCAGAATTCATACAATGTCATGTATGTCCATTGCATGAAGACAATTTTCCAGGTTTTACTTGACATGCATATTAAAACTGGAATTGTGAATGATGACCTGAAAACAAACTAACATTACCAAGCCAGAGTATATTCAGGCTAAAACTTCTACAGAATGGAGCATGTAGACAGCCAGAAAACATTGTGTACTCTATTTTTCTTCTTCAGTGCTGCATAGTTGTTTAAGAAGATATGCTGTTTTTTCAAAGTCTCACCCAAAAAATATGGACCCTAAATTGGCTGACAGATTCAAATTAGCTGGAATAGAAGTAACAAGATGTGTACATTCTTTTTAGTCAAAGGTGTATCTGCTGTGCTGAATTAATGTCTACTCTTCTGCTATTACCCTAAATCCTATTGTTCTTTCCTACTGGAGTCAGGTCAGGCTGGGTTATCAGGAGCCTCACTGTGACATCTCTGCACTGTGACTTATGGGGGCAGCCCAGAGTCCCTGCGACACTAGGCCCTGGAAGCGTGCCCCATCACTGGCCATTGATGGGCTTTGTGCCAGCCCTCAAAACTGGGCTGATACTTCCGCCGTCCAGAGAGAAAGCTGCAAGAGAAAGAGCCCACACTATTACATCACACCCACCCGACAGCTATTCGTGTGTGCGTGTTTTCTACACCTTGGCTTTTTAAAACTTGAAGTATAATTGATTCACGACATTATATCCTATGACTATTATATGTTTTTGAATGACTCACTGCAAAGAAAGACATTTTTTTCCCATTTACATTTAGTAAGTTGTGTCCAGGAGACTTGACGGCATATAAACTGACAGAGGCCATTTTCAACTCCCAAGATTAGCAAAAGAACTTCATGTACACTTATGGTATATTCATTTTTCTGTAAGTATATTATATTTCAATAAAGATCTTTAAAAAAATTTTTTAAAGAACCTCAGGTATAAATAGAAGACCTCTCTGACCATGCTGTATTTTATTTTCCTCTGTTCCGAGTAGGAGTCTTCTCTTCCCAGAGCTGTGCTGTAGGCTTTCCAGTAGCAACCTCTGGACAAGGTTTCATAGTTGCGTCAATAGCCCTTGGGCTCTTAATATCTTTCAGAACATAATTTGTCACTTGTCACTGATGGCAAACACTTCTAGGGGAGGAGCCTCTGAGGCTGTGACTGCACCTCATTACAATGTAAGGGGATATAGCCTGCTCTTTGGTTAATCCTCACAAGGACATCATTACTTCACCAATCCTCTGAGCTCTTGTTTCAGTTCTGCATTTCTGATTTCTGATTAGAGACTGGATTTTAGGCCAGATAGACGCCCAGCAGGGCAGTGCTGCTTCACAATTTCCTGTGGTGCCTCTGGAGGTATGGCTTCCATTGGCAGCTATTTCTACAACAATCTTACCAAACTGATCTTCATAGATTTGTTTTAATTGAGATATAACTAATATATCATTAAATTTACTCTTTCAGTATGTACAATTCAGTAGTGTTTAGTACATTCACGAAGTTGTGCAGCCATCAGCACGATCCAATTCCAGAACATACTCATCACCCCAAAGAAAATCCATATCCATTAACAGTCACTCTCCATTCTCCTGGCAACCTCTAAATCTACCTTCTGTCTCTATGGATTTGCCTATTCTGGACATTTCACATAAATGGAATCATATAAGATAAGGCCTTTTGTGTCTGGTTTCCTTCATTAGCATAATGCTTTCAAGGTTCATCCATGATGTAGCATGAATCAGTACTTCATTCCTTTTTTATGACTGAATAGTGTTCTATCTTATGGATATACAAGATCTTCAGCGTTTAATGTGAGATTAACCTTAAATTCATTAACTGTGCTGCAGACCGTGAATGCTGACCTTGGAAAGGTGCTATCAAGCCCCAATCCCCAGCCTCATCACACAGACTTCCCCTGCGCCCAAGTGCCAGCACTGAGGGGTTCACGTGGCTTGGGCAGCTGACCCTTGGTGGTCCGAAGGAGCAGCACACTGGGAAAGGCAGAAGTCTGCTCTGGTTGACTTTGTGACAGAGATCCTGGTACTCTCCGAGCACAGCTCCCACTCTCTGCGTTTATAAAGAGCTCTTACAGGTGAACGCCTACACAGGTGCGTTTGACAGCCATGGCCTTATAATTAGGAATCCTACCCAATCCTCTCCAGGTTTCGCTTCTCAACAGAGAAAGCTCTGTATCCTCCCCTCTCCTTCCCTTCCCTTTTCTATTCCAATCTCTTCTCATTCAGCAAACATCTCTTAATTGCCTCCTCAGTACCAGACACAGAGTTAGACACAGTGACTGTGTCCTCCATGGGGTTCCCAGCTGGTTGGGGAGACAGTGGGGCCTCCAAGGAGAATACGCTGAGCGTTGGTTCTGTCGGGGGTGGACAGGGCAGAACACAAGAACAAGTCCTCATGCTTGCCCAGAGAGGTCAGGGAAGGCTTTGCAGAGGCAGTGACATTTGAGCTGAGTCCTGAGGAAGAGCAAGCTGTCTGAGATGACACACCAGTTGGTGAAGAAGGTGTTCCAAGGATAGAGGACACTGAGTACAAAGTATTGAGGCTGGAAAGAGCATAATGTGCTCAGGGAAATACAAGGAATTCAGGCTCAGCTGTGGAAAGGGTGGATTGGGTGGGGGGTTGAGGGGGGCAGGGTGCCAGAACACAACTCTAAGCCACAGTAAGGACTTTGGACCTTGCCTCAGGGCTGAGGGGGGCCACTGAAGGATTTTAATTGTTGCAACAACAGGATTTTTTTAATAGGCTCAAACTCAAATCCCTACAGACAAAAGAAATTCTACTTTGGTTTTCCAAGACTCAGCAGAAATTTACCACTGGGGCTGGGCCTCCCAAGGCTGGGA